ATCTTTCATTGTTTCCCGTAATATTCATTAATGTCTGTTTTCTATTACCTTACAATGTTATGTCTGTTTTAATCCCTCACCCGGTGGCTTTTACTGTATTATAACTGTATACTACCAGAGCCTGCATTCATAGTATGATTGGAATGAATTGTTTTTAAATGAAGCATTTCTCTGAAGAGGAAGATGCTGTCTATATCTTATTGTTGGAGCAGCAAGAAGCGTGGCTGCGAGAGTGCAGAGGAAACAAGGCAGAGACGCAGAGTCGGCATAGAATAGGCAGGGAGACCTCTTGCTGCCTTTCGATATGGACGATATGCTACTGTATTGATCAGGATGATCGCCACTGAATATGGTGTGCTGTGCTTCTATCCCATACTACAAAGAGGGGGCAGAAAAGAAGACACTTTCCTCATGGCTTGTACCCCTTGAACTTTGTTTTCATAAGTGAAGGGAGTAACTGGACATTTTGGACAGTTGCACTGGTCTCAATCCTTGGTTCTTCAGAATTTCTCAAATTTAAAACGTCTGGTATCGCGGTGAGTTCTACGAACAGCCTGACTGCAAGGTCGCACAATTACCCATTCCATAGTCGCGGCCGTAGTCGCATGCGCGGGAACGCCTCCTCTCACCCCCATGCGACTATGGCCGCGACGACCCCGATGGAGGACAGGCAGAGATGATCTCTGCAAACGATAGGGCGTGTGACGGGGTCGTGGCTTGGAACGCAGCCACGTCAGATTTCTCACCAATTGTAGCCTGCACTCCAGATCGCGCCGCGTTACGTGATCTATCATTTAGGGTATCATCGTTGTGTGCAGATGAGAAGGGAGTAGGCACCGTCGTAGAGAACCCTTTCTGGTTCGGTACTGTGGACTGTGAAAAATTGTAAAACAGTGTCTAAAGAGTGACAAGGTTTAGGAGTCAATATAGAACATTTGGAGTCCTGCCAATTGCTGTAGACTCCTGAAAGATGCGTTGAAACGAATGTGTGTCAAGGGGGAGGATTTCCGCCCAGAAGAAAGAAGGAGCCCCCTATGAAAAGTTGATTACCTACCCCGGAGTCTCAATCGTTTCTCTGCGAACTTCCCCTCCCTTTCTACTTTGATATGCTCATGTCCAGAGCACTACAGATTAAGCCTTACAAGAAACAAATTGTTATGGTTGGTATGGATCTGCAGCACTACAAGGGTTCGAGAGGCTGCGCAGAATCATTCGGTACTTTACAGGTTTTAACAGATTGCGGAGTCTCCGCAGCGTCCCAGTGTTACTCAGTTTCACGTCGCAGCGAAAAAGCGGTGGTCATTCGCATTAGGACCCAATAGATTTATCGTGGAAGTGCTGCGTTGCGTCAGGCGTATAGG